GTATGAAAAAAAATAATATGTAGAAAATTAATAACTAATAGTTATCCAACAACCTTGTTTTACTAATAGCCAGCTTACTAACAATCACTTTACAAAATAAATATTTACCTGAAATAAAAGCAAACATTCAGGATTTATTTTAGTTGAATAATAAAATAAGCTATGGTTTATTTCATAGCGAATTTTTTCAATTAACAAAATTGCTGAAAATGAAATTAACGTTTCGGTACATAGTATCACATATGTTTGGTGGTTTAATGTTCGGGTTTGATGATTTCCAACTAATAAAGTCATAATAATAGTCTTGACTAGCAATTAAAAAATCAAGTGAGTTGAATAATTCATACAGAGTTGTATACCCACGGCATATAATAGCTTTGATATGTGAATTAATCTACTCTACACGACTAGTTGCTTGTTCTCCAGCAGTAAAGTGACGAAAGGTATATGCTTTAGCCCAAGATTGTTTATCAGAATATAAAGCCCTATTAAGATATCAAGCTGCTTTTGGAAAATGTTCTTGCAAGGATTTAAAACGATTCTCAAACATTTGTGGATCCAACATATTGCAAGTTTTGTAGAAATCCTTGATGAATAAATCCCAATCAGTACCTAATTTACTTTTAAGATTTTTTTGTAAATTTTGGCTGATATGCCAAACACAATGTAGGTGCTGAGTTGAGGGTAAAACAGTTGAAATGGCAAGGGCCATAGCAGGGTCGGCATCTGTCATGATAGTCTTTGGATAAAGCCCATCGGTTGCTCTTATTAAGGCTTCAAGGTACCAGGAATATGAATCAGTTGTTTTATCGTCTAGTATCGCCTGTGCAACTAAATGAGACCGGTAGGTATTATCTATAGCGACAAAAAGCGACAACAGCATATTATAGATATTTGTTTTTGCCGTGTCATCGTGAAGAATAATATCACTATACCGCATCCAGAGGTCAAGTTGGTTAGGTGACATCCAAAAAAGATGTGTTAATGCATTAGTACTCGGATCAAAATGCCATTCTATTACCCATCTTGAATCCTCCTCTTTTTTTTTAAATAGTTTGGATAATAATTGCGAAGCATCATTGTCACCATATGAATCCTTTTTTTTGACTTTTGTAATTGCATTATATAAATTACCACGATGAATAAGAACTTTGTATTTTTCTAAAAGAAGTTGATACTGAGAACTTGCATTGATCTTTCCAGTTAGTGAATAAATTTCAATATCTTTTACCATGTCATTAGTAAGCTTTCAATTTTTTGGAATAAATTGTATGATGGTCGGATCAATAGTATGATTATAAATACTAATAAAGGTGGATATATGATATCTATTTAAACACTTACTCCAGTAAATATTAACCTTCCAATTACAACCAGTACGACATGAACCAGATTCATTTGTGTTATGTGATGTATTTGTGGTGGATAGTTTTCTATCATGATGGCATAAAAAGGATCTTGAAATTTCCTGGCCATTTACATCCTTTTCAACACGTCCTTTACGAATTCCAAATCCATTTGAATGGGCAAAAGATTCAACTACAATATGCGCTTCTTCAACCGTTTGAAAAACTTGCCCTAGTAAAATATATACTATAAAACCTATCATCATTTAACTCTTAAAACAACAAAAAATTGCAGCTGCATACCTTTATAAAGTTTTAATTGTTCTTCAAACTCATTGCCCGATTGTTCATCTGACACATCACCCGATTTTTCGTCTGACTCATTATCCGATTTTTAATCTGACTCATTACCCGATTGTTCATCAGATTCAACATCTACACATTCAATTTCAAAATTTGAAGTCGTCAAACTTGTTTGCAAAGTAGATTCTTTGAACTGAGAAGTTAATAAAGCTATTGCAATTAGAATATCTTTGGATGAAGGATTCATATTTTGTGGCTCCATTTCGAAACTATTTAAAAGCTAAAGGCTTTAATATGGTATAGTGAATATGATAACAAAGACGAATGAAGCTAATAATGCTAAGTTTCCAAATAAAATACTGTGCCTACCTTATTTTTCATAAGAAAGGTTACAGGCAATATAAATAGAAGCGAACGACCCTAGTTCAACAATTATAAAGTTATTGTTAGTTAAGAGTAAATTGAATACGCTTATAGTCACCTGATACCTACTCGTCTAGCAAATTTAGAGCTGCACTTGTTTAAAATTTTATTGGTTTACTTCGTTCACTGGTAACCCAAATACGTTCTCTTTCCTCTACTACAAAAAAAAATGCAAAATTCGTCTT